AACAAAGAAAATAAGATTTTACTACCATCATGTAGTTGATGAAGAACAGTAAGGAAGAGGGGAAACTTGAATTTATCTCTGTGAATCTTTATTTTATAAAACCTATTCTTTTACTACTAGCTAGTCACTAGTGTACAACGGTCGTATGATTCGACAGACAAAAAAACACATTTTCCACACCAACTTGTGTGATCTATGAAAGATATGTTTTTGCAAATACACTCAGTAATATATGTATATTATTGGTGAGAGATTATGACCTAACCCGGAAGCTTATAAGATGAGCAACCTTTTACAACGAGGATTGTGCAAATTGTAGCTTTCTTTCTTTCTCTTATACTCTATAAAATGTTAGATTCAATTAGTAATGCAAATTGCCATCTTATTCGTATTAATCAAACAAGTAGGACTAGTTGGGAATATGTATAGTTGTATAGTTGTATAGTTGTTGGAAAAAACTAATGCATTAAGTAACCCTTTATTATTTTTCCCAATTGTGTTTTGTTATTATGCCCACCACTCAAATTGAAGAGTCCAATATATTCATACATTTGATTTGAGCTTGCGGAAGAAAACACACCCAAGAAATATTGTCCAATTAAAAATCTGACTTTTGGTTACTTTTAGCAACTACTTGGTTGATTTTCTTCTAATTCGGCTAATATTTTGTTCATTCTTTGTTGAAAAGGAATTTGATTATTTCTTTCTTAGTATTATCAAAACGCTCAAGTTGATTACAAGATGAGGAAAGATAGTTATGATGGACCCACGACATGGAATTTTCACCAACTTGGAATATTCAAAAGTTCTATAGTTATTTTTGGCCAGATAAAAATTTACCGCTATTGTCAGAAGGTTCCAATGATATCCAAAATCCACCAAAATGATATCCAATAATCGTACAAAAAGAAAATATATAGATCGGTCATCACAAACACAAAGATCAGCCGTAAGAAATCATGCAAAACCTACGAGGTGTTTCAAGAATTTAGGCCAAACCTATGGGAGGTATTTCAACGTGTTTGATACTCTCGAAAGAGTGTTTACACATAAAGTATATGTAGCTCTTAAACCCCAAAAGAAAGAGTGTAGCTTAACCAACTGGACCTAGTGATCTTGTTCTGGTGTGTGACATCCACATCATTATGCAAGTTTTTTTTTCCAGTTTGCAAACATTTTCTCGTGCAAACTTGTGAAAACAGTAAGCGTAGAGATAACGTATAAATGGATCTTGAATAAAAAGGTTTAAATTGATTTCAATATGGTATAAAATTTTAATAAAATGTTTAGTAACATTGTGGAGTTAGCTCTAATGATACACAGTCTAGAGACATTCCCCATAGATCATGTTGAAAGTTTCTTTTTGTGAATTGTAATATCATCCACGAAATAGAGATGCATGAGCTAATTAGATTTTGTTTTTCTCAATATTTTGAACGGTGCTGATCTCATTTTCTCCCGAAGAGTGTTTGGGCTAGTTGCACTATGAAAACGATTCGAAGAGTGTAACAACATATGAGGTTCTTCTGGGAATATTTTCATTTGTATTTGATTAGTCGAAATAGTGCCACGTTTTACCCCCATTAGAAAATCCGGTGAGTAGACTACAATCATTCCAGATTATAAAAATCTGGATCACCATACACTAGTTAAATTTTTGTCTTTTAGAAAAAAAAATCCTCAAATTTAAAACTAATTAAGAATTAAAATTATAAAAACATAATTAAAAAAAATATATCTATATCCATTCACGATTCTAAATTTCTGATAATCCTTGTGTAGTTATCTAATAAATTGTGGCTGCGTTGAGAATGACATGCGCATGTCTTATGATAAGTTGGTAACAACTACTCTGGAGTAAATAAGCAAAGTAAAAACACAACTCAAATAAATAACCGGTTATTCTATCGAGGACCAATCCATAGATTTTCGTGGGGAACCGGGCCGGTTCTTGATGTAAGAGAGAGAGAGAGTTCGTTTCTTCTGTGAAATTACAAATGACAAACTCCAAACAAATCCCAAGTGGACAACCGACGAACCCACACAAACTAACTTCTCTCTCCTCATCTATTTGTCCACATACTTGCATTTATATATATACTCGAAGATTACTTGCACAATGCACGAGTTTTGTTTTACAATTTTATCAAAAAGTTAGATTTCATTATCATTTTTTAATGTTTAACAAAACAACCCATTCTTTGAAATGTACAAAATAATATTTAATATGAAATAAGATAATTAATTTTTCTTATTTACACTATATAAAAATATGAAGCGATTGCTAATCATTTAAATACTGTAGTTAGTATTTTAAATATATTTTTTAAAAATTTTGTTATCTACGTAGAGTTTGTCATTGA